ATTCAAAACATGGTTGCGATCGACACTCTAGTCTCTTAGAATCGGACCTCGTTGTTTGGAAGTACTGCGCCATGTTGAATATAAAATTTTTTATTTCCTTTCCCTAACGCCACCTAGTAATGCGGCTTGGATGCCTTCAGATTTTGTGGCGGAGCAATGTAAGTATTGCCCCCTTTCTCGCATGAAGAGCTCTCATGATCCCCGTAATTCTTGCTATGAGATCCACCACAACCTTATAAATACTACATGGGCTCTTGGGTGTTCCATTAGTCCGTCAATTCGAGACTCCATTATGTTGATTTGAGATTCCTCTTTCCTCTTGCGAAATCTGTATCCCAAGGAACCATTGCTAGTATGTTACTCCAAGCACGTTTTGAGGACATTGAGACGAGTTTCTACTATTGCAAGCCTCTCCTTATGGTACTTTTGATTTTCTACAATCAACATTTTAGATTGTACATCCTCCGCTTGGAGAATTGCCAACCTTTTGCTCATCATTTTGGGTGTTGAGCTCCTCTTGAGCTATTCCAACAGCTTGAGATTGAGTTTGTACTTGTGATCCCCCATGGTTGGTTGGGGCAGCTACCCCTTAAGTAGTCTTGCTCAATTTTCCATGGTACTTCATCATAGCAAGTGTGCCAACTTTTATTGTTTCCTCGAATCACTTGTCTGCTATAATACAAATTACCTACGTCGAAAGGTACCCTTATGACATCCATTCGTAAAGGGTCAATTTAAATGTAATCTCACATAGGTCTCAAAGGACTTATAAATTAAGCAAGGATTTGAATACCATACTGTACCGCCCGTACAGGTGGTACGTACTAGTTTGCTAGCAGACCGGCACGCGGATCGCCCGGTATCAAGTATTTGGCCCTGTATCGAGCGATACGAGGCTATACCGAATGGTAACAGTGTTTCAATGGTCAATTTGAATGTTAGAGGCCTCCTCAAAGGTTTTTAAACCTTTTCCTCCCTCTTATTTCAATCCATTTCACTCGCACACTCTCTTAAACTCTCTCACAATCGCATTCAGCAACTCGTTCGATCCAGAGACATGGTAGCAACATGGATAGTAATGCTTCGATTGATGATGGCGGAGACGTCGGGAAGTCATTGGTCCCGTTTACATAATTTGAGAGTGGTGCATGGACCGAGTAGTATTTTACATATGCTACTCAAGATTCAGATCATAGAATTCGACAAGGTACTGGTCAAGTTTATGCACGAAAGGGGAAGGGGAAGCCAGTGGATGATTTTTAGCAGATGCGACAGAGCCTACACGATGTAGACACAGAATGAAGCTCATCGTATTCACAATTGTAATATTTTGGAGAATCTTATGGCCAACGGTACTACGATATTAGTTGGTTATACTTCTCCGACCAATAGTATGATACGAAGCAATAGATCAATAGCGAAAGTAAATGTTCTGACATTTACTAATATTTGCCTTAAGAGTCACCTCGGACACGTGATTTATGACGATCAACCCACGAGCATCACTACATTGATGCACTAATAGCATACGGTGTATCAATACACTATGTCTTGGGATTAATTCCAGGATTGGGTCCGACAAACATATCATATTGAAATACCGATACATAGGATCAAGGACCCCGATCCACCACCTATGGAGGCCCGTCGTTCGTTTTGGTGGTAAAATCAAGTATATCTACACATATGATTACTTAATTCATTTGAATCTTAAAGTTTAAGTTGTATACAAAATAATCTATCAATTCAAATAATTTTTTATAGATAATTTAATATTAATTGCGAACCTTTTTCAACAGTGGGATGTCATCAATATCTCTTATCATTATGCTGGTATAATGTGCTGCAAATGGTATCCAAAATATATGCAGTTGTGTGCTCATCAGCTATTTGCATTTGTCAAAATTAGTCGTAACCTGAATTATATTCATCATTCACTATTATCATCAGATGTTTGATATAATTTACGTTATAAAATTCATCTAATGCATCAATGCTTCATAAAAAATGACCCTCATATAACAATATATGAATGACCTATTGATGCTCGTCCTGGTGGTTCCTGACCTGTTGTTACCCACAAGGGTCATATCATGAAGGTCATGTTACTTCTTCAAGGATTTTATGTGGATTTTCTCTACCTTTTTATCAAGCCACCTCCACTTTTTGGAGGAGGAAGTTGTATCAAGGATTTATCCGAGGTCCGATACTGATTTGGGTAACCGATAGCGTGCATAGGCTATGTATCAAGCTACCTCCACTAACAAGGAGTTGGTTTCCTTGTTAGTGGGCTATGTATCGGCTTTATAGCAGATAGCATGCAACTTAACTTAAACTAGAACAAATCAGAAACAAGACATAATCATGAAAAATAAGCATGAGAACAAGATGTCAAGGCTTGCATTTACCTTGCAAGATAGAAAATCAAGCTTCTTTAAGAGAAATCTGCATCATCGCAAGAAAAAATGGCTGCAAATCAAGCTTTTATGAGAAAATTGAAGAAAGAGGGGAGCAAACTCTAGAAAGCAAAGAGAAAAATCAAGGAGGAGGATTGTTGGTAGGAAAAATGAGGTGAAATAGGTGGAAAATGGGTGGAAAAGAAGTTGATAGGTCATTGGAAAGCAAAGGCAAGCTTACCATCCGATACACAATGTACCAGTATGAAGACTGATGGTACATGGTACAATAAGCTTACTGGGTGATACACCCAATGTGAATGTATAATGAACAGAATCTACCAGTCTACATATCGATCCATAGTCAGACCAACAAAATGCCAATTGGTATGGACCAATCTGACTGAGTTTTAAAATCTTGGTTATAAATATCTTGAATGTATTTTTCACAAAGGCAGATCGATGAAGATATTATCTATAAAGTTAAAGCAGAATGATTAAAGTGGATGGGTGTGTGATCACCATTTGCCTCTTATAATTAAAAGGAAATATTTATGATATTGTTGTAAGATCAATCATACTTTATGGATTATAATGTTGTAGTTAAAGAACAAACTTGTGAAAAGAAAGTTAGTATTGCTGAGGTTTGAGATGAATATGTGGGTTACCAGAAAAGATTAAATAAGCAATCGTTACATTTGTGAATAACTAGGGAGAAAATTGTTGATTGAATATAAATGGGAGAAAATTGTTTATGATGAATTGGAGTTTAGATGTGTTCAATAGAAATTATAGAAATTACCTTATTTCGGGTGGTCCAATCTGGCCCCCTTTTTTATTAAAACAATAGTTTTGTTTTCTTTTCATTTTTTTTCTCTTATAAATGCCTTGATGCCTAGGGCTCATGGCTCATGACCATCACTTGCCGCTCCTCCTCACCTATGGTGCATCTCCTCCTCTCTCCTCTCTGCTGCCTCCTCTTCCTCTCCCTCTTCCTCCTTCCTTTTCTTTCTTCTTTCTTCTTCCTCCCATTTATTCTCTAGCATAAAGGTACCACCATATATTTTGATGTATCGTGTGTCTGTACGTTGGAACGACACACCTTGTTTTCAAAATTGAAAACCTTGGTTAGTTCTTTTTTTTTCTCAAAATATTGTCAGAACCGGGTGGTACATAAGGTAGGTAATGGTATCAATTGATATGCCTGGTATGGTGACTATAACATGTGGTACTTCCTTTATGAATCAGTATTTACTGAAATCTCTTGATCTGTATTCTGGATTGCAGATGGGCTGGCAAATGTTGGTCCATATTGTCTGGTCCATTTGGTTTTTAAATTCCCAATTAAGAGGATATTTCCTTTGTTGAAACAAAACAGAAACAAGGAACCATGCGGTTACTGTTTCGCCTGGATGGGTATGTAAGGCTGGTACATACCAGTTGAGGGCAAACCAGGACACGGACAGCCTTAAATCGCTGGTCTGTATGTGGGTCAGGTGTTAAGCCTACCTGCAGATTTTTAGACCTCAAAGAGGTACATCAGTGTCTCTTTTGAGGTGGAAAAGAGGGTTGACAAGCCCTCTTTTCGTTCCTGACATCTATATTTCCTTTCCCTTTCTGTTCACTCCTCTTTTCAGTCTTGAAGCCAGCCATCATGAACCCTCTTGCCCTTCCCTCCAGCTTTCTTCCCTTCCCCCATCTTGATTCTCTTCTCTAATCTTTTCCCTCCCACTCGAATCTCTTCCATATTCAACAAATTGTTGAAGAAGAAGTCTAATTTCTCAAGGATAATGTTCAAATCGAAGATCCATAGGGTGATCTCAAATTTGGTAAATCTTAATCCCTGTTTCTTGGCTTAATGACTCAATTCAGGGGCTTGATTTAAGATTTATGTTTGATTTACACTAAATTAGGACCTGATCCACATAGATCAAACCCAAAACCATGCCAGTCAAGGTTTGTTCTGCAAGGATCTAGGCTAGATCTAGATCCGGACTGATCTATGCTAGATTTGCTTGGTTTGGGGGTGTATCTTCATGGATCTAGGTTTCATTTCATTAAAAGTTAGATCTACTTGGATCTGACCTTGGATTTTTCAAATTCAGGCTAGATAACACCCATGAAGTAGGATTTTTTCAGGGTTTCAAATGCTCAAAACCCTTAAGGGTATTTGTCCGTGCCAACATACTGTGTGCCCAGCCCATACCAGAACCCAGACCACTCTGGTCAGGGACTGGCATGAGTACAGTATCCAAAACATTAGACCATGCAATGCAGTATTCTAGAAATATATCAAAATATTTGTGGTTGTTCATTAGGAAATGCTAATATATTGAGGGTTGATACTTTTAAAGATAGTGTCAATTTTATAGATGCAGCCTACCATGGGAAAATTGACTAGGTCATCTTTGAGTTCATTGGGCTTGTGAATGTTTAACTTGTGATAAATATGCTGAATATTTGATAACCATGTCTCAAGCAAGATGCTAATCAAGTGTAGGATTATCTTGTATTCTGTTCTATATGGAAATGTATAGAAAATATATTTTCCGGTTTTATTCATTTTTGGTGGCTTATTTTCCTGAAGAAAAGAAAATTTTTCAGGTCGTGGTGGTTGGACATTTTTGTGAATCCAAGAAGCACCTAATGTCATCCAGCATCTATTGTGTCGTCGGTGAGATATGTGTCAAAGCTGAGATGGTTCAACCAGGTATCTATCGGTGCAAGGTGTCCCCACAGCCACCTGGTCTAGTTAATCTTTACTTGACAATGGATGGTCATACACCAGTTAGCCAAGTTTTGAGTTTTGATTATCGATGTTCACCAAATATTCAATTGGATGGTCAGATCTTTCCTTCTGAAGATGACAGAAACAAATTAAAGTGGGAAGATTACCAGGTGCAGAAGAGACTTGCTCATTTGCTCTTTGCTACCTCCAACAATACATCTATTTTATCTAGCAGGATACCATTGAAATCTCTCAATGAAGCAAAAAGATTTGCAATGCTCACCTCTTCATTGATTGAAAAAGATTGGACGAATTTTTTAAAATTGGATAGCACCAATAAGTTTTCATCTGCATCAACTAGAGAAAATTTACTTGAGCTGGTTTTAAGGAATAAGTTACAAGAGTGGCTTTTGGTAAAGGTAGCTGAAGGTTGTGAAACACCTGGCCATGACAGTCAAGGTCATGGAGTCATACATTTATGTGCTATTCTAAATTATGCATGGGCAGTTCGTCTATATTCCTTGTCAGGCTTGTCCTTGGACTTCCGAGATATTCATGGCTGGACAGCATTACATTGGGCTGCATATTGTGGAAGGTTTGTTATCTATACCTAACATGAAGAGTGTTTTGATGTTGTCTTTTCGTATACTTAGTTTTTTTTGTTCTTTCTTGTATATATACTTGACAGGAGAATTTAAAAGCCCCTACATGGTTTATATGATGGAAACTTGGTGTTTTGTTTGTAGAAGGTGATATAAATACACTAGAAGCGTTTCAATTGAAAAAAATTGTTCTGTGGTATTCTGTAATATAGAATGTCATTTCATCTAGATTGGTACCTACCAATCTGAGTGTAAACCTGTGCACGGACCACACTGATTTCGGGCAGTCTAGTTTGACTTATTAAATAAATATTTATGGTTTAGTTTAGGGCTCGCATTTGTGAGCCTTCTTCGCGCCGAGCAACAAGCGTGAGCCCTCTTTACCCTCGAGCCACCCGTCGTGGCCCACCACCCACCATGCGCTAACCGATTCGAGGTATGCTTCCTCCTCTTCCTCTTCCTCTTCCTCCTCCACCTCTTCTTCCTTTCTCTTCCTCCTTCCTCTTCCTCCACCATGTCGTCTTCCTCCTTCCTCCTTCCTCTTCTCCTTCTTCCTCTTCAAATCACCGATACATACCAGTGCACCATGTATCTAGTACCAATCAGTGCGTTCTGGTCCGGCCATGGACCAATACCTGGAATGATGATTCTTGGATAGTGTTTTAGTGCACAAACGTTGGCAACAAACCTAGAGTTCTCATATAACAGTCTCTTTGACCCTCATACTCAACGTAGATGAGTCATTTAGATGCTTATCTATCAAGTATATACCGTGCTTTTTGCTTATGCCTTAGGACTTTCAACTGATCCAATTTTGACCTGAAAGCCTGTATGATTTCTTGAGAAATATCTGTATATTTGGTCTTTATACAAAATTCATCATTAAATGATAATTCAGCATTCTTATTCTTCCACCATGGTCAACATAGTTGCCGTATGTGTACCAGTTACCGATGCAGTATGCCAGTATGGATCCAGTCCTCAAAATTAAAAATATTGGTCTTTATGCATTATTCCATCTAATCTTGCAATCCTTGGACAGAAACATTGTTTTGCCTGGTAGAGTAAAGAATTATTTTTTGCTCTTTATACAATAAGTTTGATTCCTTGTGTTATTATGCAACACATGGTCATTTCATCTTGTCATGCTTAGCACAAATACTTGAAGAATCAATAAAAATTCTTTAGTTCCTAGTTCATGTATGGTATTTCTTTGGACTAAATGAAGACTCTTAATGTCTTGCACTGGTGTTCAATTAATATGATTGTAGTTAATTGGTATTTATTTTGACCAAATGATGAAGACTCTTAATGTCTCACACTGGTGTTCAATATCCATGTTTATTGTCTATTAACATGCCTTTAATTTTGTAATTCTTTAATTGCTGTTTTAGATATATTATTACACTATTACCCATTTCTAAAGTACCACTATCTAAAGTACCTAATGAGAGGGCGTTCTTGAATGGTTGATGATTTGGTTGACCTTTCAGAAAGAGGAAGTATTCATCTGTCATGGATCATAATGTTTCTTATAGTTTGTTTTTCGTATAGACCTTATCAAGTCATACTCGAATTCTAAGTTCTTTCAGCTCATTCCGTTTAGGAAAAATATTATTCATGGGTGCATACTGTTAGTGATTCTCTGTTGAATGCACTTTGTTCTTCTAGTAATAATATGCAAATAATGTATTACAAGTACATGGAACCATGATGAAGTATGATATCAACATACTGAGTAGTATTTACTAGTCGGAGCCATACCATTAGAATACTTATCGTTCTCTAGTAATTTGGTACTTAAATATTTTGATATATTTTCACTGATGTCCCATGATATACCATATTATACTGATGTGCTGTACTAGTCCAACAGTGTCCTGGAATATACACCCTTGATTCAGATATGGTCTAACTTAGTCCTCCATTTGAGTTGTCAAAATCATGATTTAACTTCAGTTCAAGAAAATTTTACTGATAAATTCTCATTCAAATGGTGTATGTAATTCTACCCTCAGGAATGGAATCTCAAATCTATTTTACTTAGTAATTAGTATAGAGTTCCCAAGAGCTATCAATTTGCTGACAATGAACTGCAAACATATTGCTGTTCAACTCTTTGATCAGTAGCTGTTACTAATTTCAGTTTCAGTAATCTGATGGTATTCTACTGGTCCACGATCGGACCAGTAAATACTGATCAGTACGATCCATACTGACTGCAATATGAGACAATGGGATATAAGTAACCAATATGTGAAACCGTGGTCATTGCAATGACATATAAGTAACCAGCTAATTCTGCATTGTCCTGCTCCTGAAGGTTTATTTATCAACCTAAACATAAATTCAACCGTCCATAAATTCACTTTCTTCAAATCCATCTATAGAAATATTTGGCATCCTGCATTTAAAATGGCATAAGAAAGAAAATAATGGAACATCTAGCATGTTATAAGATTCATGGTTCTTAGTATTCATACAATGGAATCCTTAATATTGTCAGATGTATGATCCAACATGCAAGGAATGTCATCTTGTAACACCTGACTGTATCTGTCGCTGATTGCCCGTCGAATACATACTGGTGTTCTGAAAAAAGGGCCAACAAATGGCTAAAAATAAAAAAAAAACTATTTTTAGGGTTTTCCCCTAAATTCTTTGTATATAAATTATATTTAGATAAGAATAAAATGTATCTAAACCACAAATGAATATAAATATTATGTTGTAAGGATGAAAAATTATCTTTGTCTTTTCGGATCCATTAAGGATGGCTATCACATGGTCCTTCAAAAAGGAACAACTTTGCCACACTGTCCTCTTTTGAAGGAAGTTGTTTCTGATTATCTTGTATCACATTAAAAAAATTTGTTATGTTGGATTAGGTGTCAAAACTTTAAGATTGGAGACAAATTCCATCAAATCCTGATTTACAATCCCTCATCCAAATCAAGAAGTTAATTTCATTGATTAGAAAGATTAAACAAATGAGAGTGTGAGAATGAGTGAGAATGAGAGTTAGAGAATGTGAGTGTAAGAGGGAGGGGAGGAAGATTTAAATGGCCAAACAGTGCCCAACGATCAAATTGACCACTGAGACCTGAATATTGATGGGTATGGTCGAAATCCAACCATTACCAACTCTTATCATTCGGTACTGGTCAAGTTTCGACCTTATCAGGCATATACCGCCTGGTACATCCCCTTGCAGCATACTGCCCGAGAACAGGCTGGTCCACGTATCGGTCAGCTAGTGGTCTGGGACATACTGTCCATTTCATACTTATCAGCCAGTATGTCAAACCATGCCGACATGTTCAGTATCTTGCTGTCCCATATTCCCAAAGACAAGTTGTATTTATTTCTTTTATTTATCAAAGAATCATGCTGTCCCATATTCCCAAGGATCAATTATAGTGGATTTACTTAAAAGCAAGTTATGTCACTAAGTTGCTAGTCCCAGCGTACTAACATTTAAACTTGTTTTATTAGACATGAGTGTGATTTGGCAGTCTCATACAAATTCAGAAGCACATGCAAGATGTATTTGAGATTCTTAGTAGGTTCTTTAGGTACTTGCTAATGCATGATACACTTTCTCTGCATATTGCCTCTCCTATTCCAGGTTTCTTTCCCACTCCATGTTACTAAGATTATCAACAACATATGTGGAAATTGTTCATTCAGGGAAAAAATGGTCGCTACACTTTTGTCTGCCGGAGCAAATCCTAGCTTGGTTACAGATCCTACTTCTGAAACCCGTGGGGGATGCATTGCTGCTGATCTGGCATCAAAACAAGGTTATGAAGGCTTGGCAGCATATCTTGCAGAGAAAGGACTAACTGCACATTTTCAGGCTATGACATTGTCTGGGAATATAACTAAACATGGAATGCCTACAACAAATACCTTAGCTGACTCCGAAAATGTGTACCCTCACAAATTTAGTGAGCAAGAACTTTGCCTGAAAGAATCATTAGCTGCATACAGGAATGCTGCTGATGCAGCAGATCATATACAATCGGCAATAAGGGAGCGTGCTCTAAAGCTACAAACTAAAGCAGTCCAGTTGGTCAAACCTGAGATGGAAGCATCCCAGATAGTTGCGGCTCTGAAGATTCAGCATGCCTTCCGCAACCATAACAGATGGAAGTTGATGAAGGCTGCTGCACGAATACAAAGTCATTTCCACACCTGGAAAATCCGGAGGGATTTTGTCAACATGCGTAAAAAAGCTATCAAGATTCAAGTAAGATGTGTTTATAGACTTCCCCTTTCTTGTGAATTTTGCCAACCACTTCCTGACAATAAAAGCAAAAACAAGTTTTTGTTTGCAGGACAAATCTGTTAAAATTGCTCTCTAGTTATAGTAATTCTTTGCTCTCGTTATCTAGTAGATTTATTTTATGTTCACTGTTTGCAAGTTTATCTTTTGGAGGTGACAAACCTGTTATGTTATTTTGGTGTTTCAGCTACAAAAGCCTTGTTCAATTGAATTTTGGATGTTGTATGATTCTCTTAACCAGTTTAATAATAATACCTAAACAGGCTGCATTTCGAGGTCATCGAGTGAGGAAGCAATACCGCAAAATTGTTTGGTCAGTCGGAGTACTTGAGAAAGCACTACTTCGTTGGCGGTTGAAGAGAAAAGGTTTACGTGGCGTTCAAGTCAAAACCACAAAAACAATGAATATGACACCGGAAAGTACCGGAGAGGAGGAATTTTATCGAATTAGTAGGGTGCAAGCTGAAGAACGGATGCAGAGATCAGTCGTACGGGTTCAAGCGATGTTTCGTTCATATCGAGCACAGCAAGAATATCGAAGGATGAAAATGGCACATGAGCAAGCAAAGGTGACTTTTTTTTTTTTTTTCTCACTAAACCATACCTGATTTGCTACAAAAACCTAAAATAGCATATGAGCACCAGCACTGACAATTCTGGGGATAGCCATGTCCATCTTGCCAACTTGCGATTAAAGAAAGGAACCTGTCTCCTATAAACCAAAAGCCTACCCTCTTACATCTGTGATCGCCAACATGGCTGAACCAGGAGCTGTCTTTGGCTGCAAATGGTTGATGTGTTGTGCAATTCCTGACAATTTTAATCTTCTCTAGATTGAAAGGAACTTCAAGTTAAATGCATGAAACTACATAATCCAATTTCAGCATAGTGCCCATATCTCAGTACACAATATAAAATTTGGTTCCAGAGCCAAAGGGAAATACGTATCATGCTTCATACCACAATTGATATAATAGCAAATAATGTGGTTAGTCAAAAAGAAGTTTTGGTTGCTTCAATGCTACTTCATTGTTTTTCATTAAACTTTGCTTTTTGATCCTGCAGCTGGAGTTCTGTGACATGGGTCAACTTCAGTAGTATTTTCTGAGTCTCCAAGAACAGAAGCTTTCACAACTTAAAATCTTGATTCTGTATGGATAAATAGGTGTATATAGAATTTTTTTTTTCTGTACCAGTCAAAGTGGAAACTAGCGTTGTTCCTTCTGATTAAGCTATCTGAACCATTGAAACTTGCATGAAATTTCTGCTCCTGTACATGGTGATTGAAAGAGCTCTGCCATCGGCTGTGAAGATTGAAGGTCACAGCAGAAGCAGATTTTTGGTGTTACCTAATTGGGCGGTGTCGTGATATGCTGTAACAGAGTGTTCTCAACTCCCAAGTTGAGAGCATCAATGTATGTTAGCCTACACAATATATTATTTTATTTGTTAAGATATCCTGTTTTATTATTCTAATCCATAAATGTCTCACCACTGTCAAAACCATTGTACCATCTATTGTTATCTACAATTGTTTTATCATTTGAACCTAGACATGTCTTGATGTGAATTGAGAAAGGACCCAGGTGGGTGTGATATCTGCCCTAAGTTGCGAAGAATTATCCGTTGAAGTATAAAGTTGGTCACATAATAATAGAGTTCATTTATAGATCGATCGGCCCGGACACTAAATAGTTGTGTTTGTTTGTCACAGGTCGAGTCGGTTCGGATTTGGGTCTTCTCTAATCTGACCTCACTTTCCCATCTCAATACAACGCAACTCTATCAGACTTTGCATGATAGACACGTCAGTGTTGGCAACCATCAACTCTTATCAATCAATCGATGTATCTTAGAGCAACCAGTGAGGCACCTTCTTCTCCATGCTCTTCTCCACTATGGTGCCCAGAGTTGGCGCCCACCTTTTGCTCGAGAACTGCCTCAAGAACTCCGGCCGCTCCGAGGACGGCCATCCCTCCACCCCTTCCATCTTCGCCCCCACATCCTCCCCCCTTGAATCTTCCTCCTGCTTCATCTCCACCGCCGCCTTCTTGCCTTTCTCCTCCGCCGGTGCCTCCGTGCGCGCTCCGAGCACCCTCAGGAACGGCGCCGCCGACGCTGACCGCTGTTTCAGTCTCAACCGGCTCGCCAATGCCAAGACCCGGCGGGCCTCGTCGGCTGACAAGCGGGCGGCCTTCCCTCTGGCCACGGGGAGCATCACGTAGACCTTGTCGGGCTCCAGCATGTAGTCGGCGGGAAGCGGCGCTGCCTTGGAGTTGCCCGCGGACAGCGACCGCACGTCGACCACGAACTGGTGGGGGTGCTCCAGCATGAGCTCCGCCACCAGCGTTGGGTGGTCGAACTCGTGGACCGTGCCGTCGGAGAGCACGACCTTGCCGTCAAAGCCATCGGCAGCTTGGCAGGAGAGCAGGTTCCCCATAACAGAAGAAGAAGAAGAAGAAGCCGCGGCCAAGTAAATGCAGCAGAGAGAGAGAAAGAGAGAGAGGTGTTATTGGTATTAGAGGAGGCACGGAATGTGAACGCAGTGTTCCCCTTCTTCGCCTACTAATTTGCAGGGCCCTTTAACACAATTACTACACGCAGTCGTTGAAGAATGGTTCAAGAGTGTCCTTCCGACCAGACAGCATCCGCCAAATTCACCAAAGAATCTAGTGCCAACCGTGCTTGAAGATCCGAGAAGCCTTGCTTGTCAGCCAATGGTTGGAACAGATTCACGGTTCGTGTAAGGCACAGGCGCCAATTCATCGCCTACAGTGTCATGACATTAAAAGGTTTCGCTAACCTGCTCCTTGCAGTGTTTAATTTTAGCCCTTGACGCTCCGGACTCGAATGGCAAACAAAGCCCATCCCCGGCCACTAGGGAACTCACACGCGTCCCCCGTTTCATGCGGGACCCGCGTAACATCCAGTAGAAAAAGGGTGTCTTCCGGATGACTCGAGGGGGTCTTCTTGTGAATGAAATGGGTTCGGAGAAGCCTCTCCACCCGTTAGTCAAAATGTGTGACCCGTGAATGGTGGGGCGAGTCGTGGTTTAATTAGCGGGCAAGTGGGAGCAGAGGAGAAGACTGTGCCCGCGAGAGAGAGTGGGTGGGCAGGACAAGTGACGTTCTAACCTTGGTTCTGTTGAGACCCACGGGCCTATTAATTCTTGATCATGATTGGATCATGAGAATCTCAACTTAGATTAGAACATTGAAAAAAGCAAGCTGTTATTGTACTCTGTTTTTTTTTTTTTACTTTCGAAGTCATCTCGAATTGGATACCCACACGAAAAACCATGAGAAGAGTGGTTTAAATTAAACTAGATATTGATGGATTTTAGTTTTTACTGTAATTTCTTTTATATAAATTCTCTTATGTATGTATATACACACACGCATTGGCGTATGTAATTTGCTAAAACTTGTATACTTATATGGATGCGAACTACCTTTCGATTTTGTAATTTTAAAATATATGGATGCGAACGACCTCTTGACTTTGTAATTTTACGTTATAAAGATGCTACATGGATGCATGAACGACCCCAAGTATGTGCATAAAATAATTTTAAAATAGTTTATTTTTGTTAAAATTTTTCATGATGAAATATTATGATATTGGAATAACGTAAATGTTGATAAGGATATTCATAAGATTATTATGATGAGTCGTATGAAAACAACTATATTTATGGGAGATAAAATATTATAAGTCTCACATTATAATCTAATTTATTAATTATACATAAATGTCACCTGTAAAAGAGGGGAAAAGGATTTCTCCTATAATGATTGATTGATGATTTGTTTGCTACGACTAATTGTTTCCATGTCTCCATTGATAGCGATTGAAGGAGATGCATATAAATGCATATCGTACATGATGTTATAATTAGGTAAAGAGTGCTTTCTTTTCCTTTCAAAGGGTGAGAAGTTGAAGATAGTGTGTCTAAAGAAGTAGAAGAGTGACATGGTTAAAGTATCATACGCGTTTTGATGGCTGCGAATCATGCGTACAAAAACAAATTTTGAAGTTGAAAATGATCTTATAAGCTTTGGCTTTGATCTTTGCAAGCACAAAATATTGTTTGTTTTCCTTTTTTTTATGCTTTTGTGTTAATGTGTAGCCATTCAACTTGTGCCGAATAGGTTCAAAATTTTAGATTCCAAAAATGTTTCATGAGATTTAATAATGTTAAATTTCATCTTACGATAAAAACAATTTATGAATATGAGGTACTTGTTAGATTATATGGCATTATAAATAGACAAATCCTATTAAAAACTTTAAAATAATATAAATCATTGTATAGATCTTCTCTCATCTCTCTTTAGTCACGTTAATTAGTTACCGAGAGATTATAAATTTTTTCTCATATTTTTTTGCCTAAATCTATAAATCATAATGTTCCTTTGAATGATAGGAACAGAGGAAAAGACAAGTCTAGTTCTTCTTACAGATTGACATTACCACATATCTTGGATTTGACGATGGTGTGATTACATATTAGATAAAAGCTTTTGAGTAACATTCAAAGGTACACATTGTAATCTTTAGATATATTGTTATTTAAATTTAGATTTTTGACATTAAATTCTTTCGCTTAATAATAGCACATCATGATTTTTATAGTTACAGTACTAACCATATGATAGTTAAATAATATAGATGTACTTCAATTAAGGGTATGGACTATCAAAATTGAATGTTATGTATGAAAGGACTAAAACTTATGTCCAAGAAACGAACATCATATGGAAGAATCAGATCTCATGCCAAAGATATAGACATAATATCAAATGATCAATGTCATGCTAAAGAAGGATAAGTCTATATACTGGAGGGTAGAATAATACGTCAAAAGATTTAATAATGTATCAAAAACACATTTTGACATGTCGAAGGCTTGATTGAATTATTGATGCCTTGGTTGAAGTCAGACTATAGTTGGGCTCTAGATTGGTTAAAGTCATATTACCTCGAATGTGACAACTATTGAGTCATATATGGGCTGAAAAGGGCTACAATTAAGTCTTTACTAGGCCAACATATGGCTTAATGGCAGTTGCCCAAGCCAAACTTAGGTGGAGATGGTGTTATTGCCTAAATTGATGACAACATTTCATATTATTAGCGGTAATACCACTTTGAATAGTGGTAATACCTTTGATACCTTTATTTTAGAAATTTTTATCATTAATTTGCTCCATGTCTTCGACTGCTTGAGACCTCTATAAATGCTTAATCGGATTTGTGAGTTGAGGCAAGTGTTTCTAAGTATTCTTTAAGCTTTAGTGCGTGGTTTCTCTTATAAGAAATCAGATATTATATTATAATCTTTTTTTTATTCAGAGAAGAATATTTCAAGTATAAAGTTTACTTCTAAGTCTTGACAATTAAGTCTTGAAAAGAAAAAAATTATAAAAGATTGATAATCAAAGTTGATGATCATCACGAAAAAAATATTATGAGCGGATAGAAATTGAAATGACTGAACCGCTATAAAGTTTCTCAATCTTTTATCTTGTTTATTTCCTTCAATTTGCTCTTCCAAAGTTTGAGTTATGAACCTCTATACTTCAAAAATATATGTATATATTTGTTTTTCTCGTACCTCCTATTTGTCTTTTTATTATTTGGCTTAACACTGATAACGTATATAGTTGAAATAAGAGTAGGCTGATAAGATTTTAGAAAGAAATGGCATTTATGATCTTATCCCTCTTAACCAGCCATCAAAATAGAAAAGATAGCTACAACATAGTCTTTTATATGTATGTGTATACATCGAACACACTTTCCTAATAGTCACCTCACACGTTTGAAATTAAATGGATAACATGCGTTGGTACCGTATAATTGACAGAATTGGGATTCAATCATATGACATGTTTTATACATGGATAAAGATTTTTATTGGATGACAAATAATTCCAACAACTTAAGCCTATGGAATCTAAGATTAAAGCCGAGCAATGGCAAGACTTGAATTCATATCAATTGACAATCATCATTTTAGAGATTTACCATAACATCCACATGATATATTAGTCATATGTGGGTAGTATATGGTATGAAACTTGATAAAAGATTTGACATATGGACACCAAAAAAAACCTATGTTATTATGAGCCTAATACCTTCTCGGGTGCTTCTCATGTCAACGTTTCAACTAAGGGTTTCACATGACTCACACAATGCACGACAGTGATAGCTATAATGTCCGATAGTTTGGCGGATCCTTTATATGATAATCTTGTATAATCATTCTCTAGATTAGGAATCGATAGGTATGTGTTCGATTTTTGTAGGCTCCATATCGAACTTAATCATTTTCTAAACTCCAAGTTTGCAATAGTTACTAACAAGACCAAGATTGAGTTTAAATCTAGATGCGCAGACGGCATCGAACATGACCTCCATTTGCTGTTCCGAGAGAGAGAGATAGAGGAAGGAGAGCGTCGAACTCAGAGGAAGGAGATGAGAAAGAGGATGCTAATGCGGGTTGACCGCGGAGTGGACTGAGCCATCACGTACTTGGTAACGTTCACAGCCGTTAAGAACAAGTTGGAAGTCTGCGAGAGTGAGGATGAAGTCTCAGATGGACATGAGAAAACAAGTTGGAAGTCTGCAAGAGCGAGAATGAATTCTCAGATGGATATAAGAAGAAGGTGGAATTTGTCTGAGGAAAGAGATTGTTTTGACTCACCCAGTGGATAGACTTTGTCAGTTGACCTGCTTATCATTCTAACGGGATATAGAAACAACTAACTGATATGACATTAAGATTAAATTACAGATTGTGTTGCTTATCATATTTAGGCATAGTAGCAATTACAAATAATGGTTAATTCTTTGTTACAAATAATGTGAGCCCAAATTTTTATTTTCACACAAAACTAATGAATAATGTAAACAATTATAGAAAATAAAAAAAATAGAGGAAATTTTGTCAGTATTATCCCTCTTAAGAAGATGATTATGGAGTGATTTGACTAACCTCATTCAGTAAATCAAACAGTAAATAAATAAAAATATAATAGAGGAAAAAATTACAATAGAGTAGAGATTGTTTGGTTATTTTTGGGCCGAATAGATTAAAGTTGTTTAGGACTCTATTTATAGAGCCTAAAAGTCCCTCAAAGGTTATTATGAAAGGGTATCTGTCCAACGATCATGTACTTTCATATATAACCACCGAAAAATATTTTTTATAAACAATTAAAATTTAAAATTAAATCCAACA